AGGCGTGGGTTTGCGGTCAACGGGGAAATAAAGCAGTAAGTTGACGAACACTCACGGAACTCGCTCGTCCCGTTCTCCTTTGGATTTCACTCTCGAGCCCCGCCAGTAGCCGCGCAGTAGCTCGTAGTGTGGGCAGATGGGCACTGCCAACAAAGACAGGGCAGACGGGAACGGCCATTTCTGGCTCATTGGCCCTCATCAGCCAGTCATACCCAATCTTGGGTGGTGCACCACCGGAGGCTCAAACCCGCGACCTGTTGATCAGAAGTTCAACACTAATCACCTGTCTACACTGCTAGCTGCTGTGTGGCTGCTGGCGGGGCTTGAGAATGAGTCCCCAGGCAGATCGATGATCGGTGTCAATATTCCCGCGCTAACCGGGCGAGACAACGAGCCCATGGTTCAGTGGTTAGGGCCTTGGACTTCTGATAAACAGGTCGTGAGTTCGAGTCTCCGGTGGTGCACCACCTGGGCTTGGGTATGACTGCCTGATGATGGCTAATGAGCCAGAAATGGCCATTCCAGTCTTCCTTATCTTTGCCGGCAATGTTCATCTGCCTAGGGCACTGAGTATTAGTAGTAGTAATAGTAGTGGTATTAGTAGTAGTGGTAGTAGTAGTAGTGGTATTAGTAGTAGTGTTGGTATTAGCAGTAGTAGTGACATTATTATTATTAGTAATAGGAGCAGTATTAGTAATAGGTAAGTTGGCTTCTTCCCCTCCTCAAACACTCAACCCATCTGATCCTGCATGGGAGCCACAGACATCGCAACATCTCTTCATTAGTGAATGTAGTTATTTAATATGCGCATTTTTGTCTGCTGTTGGTGATTAAATAGAGGGTTGGAGGTTTGCTTCGTTTGCTACTGATTGTGCCACAGGTGACTATGTGGGTGATTTTTGTATAAATCAAAGTTGACACAACCAGTACTCGCGCTCACGCCAAAAGACGCAAGCAGAAGCTCCAGAATTGGCTGCAATTATATTGTCTCTGTTTCCATCCCAATTATTAACCGGCTAGTTCTAGAAACTGACCACTTCAAGAGTCTACTAGTATAACTGCAAAAATTTTGAGATAAGTCTCCTAAATGGTCATTCCGGTCTGCCTTTGCTTTGTCAGATCCATTTCATTATATCACCATAGTCACTATGTGACGGTCTGGCGGGTTCACGTTGTGAGCTGGGCCAAGCGGAACTTACGTGTTCCTCTACTAGATCGGCGAAGCACATATATTCATAAGTCTCTGATTCTTTAAAAAAGCATATTCTTATCCGAAGCGGAAAGTCTGGTTTCTCTCCCACGCTCACTGACAGTACATAGGAATTTACTAGGGCTTTATCTCGCCTTCGATTATCGTCACTTTTCTTCTCACACACGCATATCTATCAACCCTCTGCAGAAGCTGACGAACTGGAAAAGGCCCAATCGATGTTGGATGTCCCCAAGATCTCCGCCGCGGTCGGTAAGGATTGGATTTCGTTAGCACAGACCCTCGGTATGACGCCCGAGGACATTGACATGCTGGCTAAAGAGCCGCTGACGGGTGAACAGACCGGGCCGGAGGCTGACAGAGAACGCTGTGAGCACATGTTGTCGTTGTGGCAGCAGAGGTCAGCGGCCGCGAGCACACCCACCAGAGAGAATATGGGTAAGTGTGGGGGCTCCTCCCTCCTTCCTCCACCCTCCTAGGAACAAAGTTTTCTAAAGCGTGCAAGACTAACTGCACCTGTTAACTCGCTGGTAGATGCCACCC